ATAAAAACATATCCTTTGGTGAGGATTACAAAAAAAAGCTATCCAGTTACCCAGTAATTTTTTACAAGGAATATTTGTAAATTGTTCCTGCAAAAATTTCTTTAAATTTAGAGATTAGAAATTTACTAACTCATATTTTAGTATAATAAATTATATACAAATTTTGTGATATAATTCATATCATTATAAATTAAGTAAATAACAAACTAAATTATTTTATAATAGTTTAAATGGCATGTCTGGTTTTTGAAAAGTTTCTAGAATAACTTACCAGATTTTATGAAATTATAATTTTAAAAATGAAAAATATAAAATCTTGAATATGATTTATATTTACATCCTATTTTATCTATAAGAAGAGAATATGCAGTGATAAATATTTTTAGATGAATTTTGTTTTCAAGAATTTTTCCAGCCTCCCTGTTAGGCTCATTAGATAGAGCAGGGGTGGGCAAACATTTTGACTCGAGGGCCACAATGGGTTCTTAAACTGGACCGAGGGAGAGTGTCAGCCTGCAGACTAAAGGACGGGTTCCAGGTTGGATTCCCATCAAGGGCACATGCCCAGTTTTCAGGGTCCCCACAATAGGGGGGCGTGCAGGAGGCACCCAATCGATGACTCTTTCTGTTGATTGATGTTTCTGTTTCCCTCTCCCTTCCTTCCTGAAATCAATAAAAAATATTTTTTAAATAGAATTTTTACAGGTTTTAGTAGAAATATTTTACCATATTTATTGATGCTTCCTAGCTGAAGCTATCTCTTTCAAAAATAATCTAGTGAATTGAGCTGTGTAGCTTATAATTAAACTAGAGGACCAGTGCATGAATTCGTGCACTAGTGAGGTCCCTCTGCCTGTCCTGTGGGTTTGGGCAGAAACCTGCTCTCTCACATCCCCCAAGGGGTCCCAGATTGCAAGAGGGCACAGGCCAGGTCGAGGGACCCCATCGGTGCACTATCAGGGTGGGGAGAGACACAGGAGGTTGGCCAGCCAGGAACGGACCACGGGAGGGCTCCAGGACGTTTCCGGCCCATCTCAGTCCTGATCGGCCAGACCCCAGCAGCAAGCTAACCTACCAGTTGGAGCATCTGCCATTGCCCTGGTGGCAAGTGCACATCATAGTGATCAGTTGACTGTCCCCTAGTGGTCAGTGCACGTCATAGCGAATGGTTGTGCAGCCTTAGCATGTGATTAGCATATTATGCTTTGATTGGTTGAATGGACAACCAGACATTTAGCAGATTAGACTTTTATTATATAGGTTAATATATTACATCTATTATAAATATAAATCTATTTAATTAGATCTTCTTCTTATTAAGAAAATACTAAATTGCCATGTTTATGTTCTTGACAATCTTCAAAAGTTGATTATGTGTGTTTTTTTAAATTACTTATTTTTTTCAGAGCATTTCGCGGTAAACCCCTCTCTCTTATTGTTCGATTTCCAAACCATGGTAAAGAGGTTGATGACTTGGACATATGGTCTCATACAAATGATACAGCTGGTTCAGTACGACGATGTATTCTCAATCATGTAAAAGCAAATATAGCTCACACAAAAATTGAACTTTTTGTGGGTGGTTGTCTGATAGATTCTGAAGATGACGGAAAATTAATTGGACAATTAAACCTAAAAGATAAATCAGTAAGTACACATAATTTTCAAATTTTCTCCAAATATTAAACATGGGTGTTTATGTCTTTGCTACTAATATGTACTTTCACTATTCAGGTAATTACAGCCAAACTTTCTCAGGTATGTTCCAATATGCCTTCAAGCCCTGATAGTTCTTCTGATTCCTCAACTGGATCTCCTGGAAACTGGTGTAATCAGTACAATGATAGTCCCAGTCCAGAAATGGAAAATTGTTTGCCTGGAGTGGTAAGTAGCTATTATATTCAAAACATTACACTCTTCTTAAAAAAAAAAAACAAAGAAATGTTTTTTTTATATGTTTCATGAGTGGTCAAATGCCAAATAAATACATTTACCTATTACCTTTTGGGTGGATTTTTTAATTGGAAATAAAATTATACACACAAACATATATATATATGTATTATGTTTGCATAGAATCAATCAATTATAGTTCAACTGTAATACTACCAAATATATACCCCCAGATAATACTACTATGAGTCTTTCTTTAAAACTGATTTTGCTTTTTGTTTTTGTGAAGTAGTTAATTTAATTGCTGATAAGTAGCTCACTTAAAAGACACATCTTTAGTGTATTCCATAATTACAAAAACTCAGGAGAAAGGGCTGAAGCTTCAGACTGACCAACATTTTAACCAGTCCTTCCCAGACTTTTTCTCTTTTAAATCAACTTACAACTTTTTAAGGAAATACACAATTTGCTATCTTTCCTAGATTCTTAATGTATAACTAAAGAAACAACTCCTATTTTCTTAGGTTTCCTATTTTTCTAGTTACCCTTAAGAATTATTATAGCTGTAAATAAAACCAGCCACTTCAATTTCAGAGGAATTTGGGTTCCTGCAACTGTTGGATTAGGATTTTAACCAGCAATAGTTATCCCTGACAAAATGAAGTGCTTTTTATAGTAAACAGTTTCTGAGTTCCATATTTTATAAAATAACAAAATGCTTCTCACAAAGAAACCACTCAAAGAGGCTTAGAAATCCTAATAAATGGTTAAGTTTGTATCATGAAGGATCACTGCATTTGTGAAAAGGAAAT